AAAAAAAAAAAGTAAACATAAGCATTTCTATCCCAGAATTTCTAGCAAAGTTCTAGATTCCCATTGATGGAATCAGCTTAGGACACATGCTCATCCGTGAACCAATTCAGTCCCTGTGGCCAGAGAAATGGATGAGCCCAAACGATCGATTCTGGGATTCTGCAGTACTCTAGCGTGAGGGTTAAGCTCTGAGGATTAGAATGAGGGATAATCACATCCCAGCAGCATGAGGATGGGGTTTATCAGAGAAAGACGTGGGAATGAGTGGGGGAGCTGTGCGCCGATGCTGAAGAGCGCAGGGACGTGACGCTTGTTGGAGGATGGGGTGGGAGGGTAGGGCTGGGAGTAGATTCTTCAGACACAAAGCCTGAGTGTGGGGTGGAGTGGGAGTGTGAGAAAAGGATAGAACCCCCTCCCCCACCTCCACCACAAATATCATCATTATCCCTGCTCCTTAGGTCAGCCACCTGACCTGGTTTACTCGTCATGACCCCGTGGTCCAGAAGGAACAAGGGCCGCCAGCAACTCCCTTGTCTCTTAACCTCTCTCACAATGGGATGCCAGAGGCCAGCAGTAGCAGGGTCCAGTTCGAGATGGTTCCAGAAAACATGTCTAAAACCCACAGCTGTAAGTAGCCTCTGTCCTCCGTTACAGTGAGAAGCATTACGTGTTAAAGGGACTTCCTGCCCCCCCATCAAATCACCAGGAAAGCGGGCAGACTTGGAGTTTTATCATCCTCTGGCTCCAGTGTCTGATCCGTCCCCACGCTCTGGCCACGGGAAAGGAGTTTTTAGTAACTTTCAACAGAAGCTTCCTATGGGTACTAAGAGCAAACATTTGCTGAGTGCCTGCATGGTTCATTTCATCCTCACGCACCCCACATGGATAGACAGGAACATGACTTGCCTTCTCTGTTAGTGCTGCTAAACTGGCAGCTTGCAGACATATTTTGGTTTAGCCCACCTACAGTTTTAATAAAATGTGAATTAACATTTAAAAATTGAGAGATTTTGGCTGGGCGCGGTGGCTCAAGCCTGTAATCCCAGCACTTTGGGAAGCCAAGGCAGGTGGATCACCTGAGGTCAGGAGTTCAAGACCAGCCTGGCCAACATGGTGAAACCCCATCCCTACTAATAATACAAAAATTCACGGGGTATGGTGATGCATGCCTGTAGTGCCAGCTACTTGGGAAGCTGAGGCAGGAGAATTGCTTGAATCTGGGAGGTGGAGGTTGCAGTAAGCGGAGATTGTGCCACTGCACTCGTTTGGGTGACAGAGTGAGACTCTGTCTCAAAAAAAAAAAAAAAAAAAAATTGGGAGATTTCAGCCACGCATGGTGGTTCACGTCTGTAATTCCAGCACTTCAACACACCTGGTGAGTGTTCCCTTCTCGCCTCTCTGGGAGACACAAACCACCTCTATGGTCTTCTTTTGCTGGGTTCTTGCTAGGTGACGTGACCCGGAAGCAGTCCAAAGTGGTGAAGGCCATCCTATGGCTCTGCGGAATACAGGACAAGGGCAAGGAAGAGCTCCCAGCCAGAGCAGAACCCGCCATAGTTTCCCTGGAAGAAAACCCCTTGGTGAAGACTCTTCTGGATGTCAACCTCATTTTCTGCGTGAGCTGCGCCATCTTTATCTGGGGCTACTTTGCTTAGTGTGGGGTGAACCCAGGGGTCCAAACTGTTTCTCTTCAATGCTCCATTTTTTTAATGAAAGAAAAAAAAATAAAGCTTTTGTTTGTTTACCACAAGGCTTCCAAGTGTTTATAGACCATTTGCAACATGACACTTAGCTGTTTTCTTTTTTTTTTTTTTT